ACCTTTTCGCTTTTCGCACGCGAGTCATTTTTTCAGTGGGAACATCAGATTCACGCCTGTTCATGAGTGGACATGGGATTCCTGCAGTGAGAAATGCTCAGCGCTATGAAAGCGAAAAATCGCTTCTACCCTGACAAACCACACCCATGATACTTTTGATGAGGATCGATGGTTGTCTTAAATCCCTTAGATCTTGCTCACAACTATGCAATTTTTGGCACCTGAAACATCCACCCGGGGCCCTTTCATCCAAAAGCCAAGACAAGGATGTTCAACCCACTGGTGCAGGATCATTTCCTTTGACCAAGCAGGCTGAAATATGGAAACACCCTAGGAGTTCTTCCACACTACACCGGTTCTTCACCGGTCAAGTCGCCTAGAATTAATCCAGTTTTGTGCAAGGGAAGGGTGCTCCAGGGTGAGTGTGAAAGCGGAAACGAAACGGTGCAAACACACTGGGGTTTTCCTCTGCCTGCAAAAAATGGAATTTCTGGAAGAGGCAGCACAGTCTCACTCCTCACATGCCCCTTTGGATGATAGCGCATAAATTATTCGAGCTCCGCGCTCCTCGTAGAGTTAGCGATTTCGCAGATTCGTCCTATCTACGCTTCTCACAGTTGGTAGCTAACATAACTCAATCGCATATTCTGCCTCTGTGGGTGGAAATTAATAGCACCGCGAGATGTCGCCTAAACGCTTCCCTGTTTCCAGATCTTTCATTCTCTTTTGTGTTTTTTAGGTATGGTAGATAAGTTTGTTACTAGTAGAACCCTTGTGCGAGAAAAATATTAATAGCACTTGTCGAAAGTCAAACAAAAACACACTTTTCTATTGATAAGCTGACATAGCAGCTCATTTCAGCAACCGTGGATTACTCTTCAAGGCTGACTGGTGGGACGGATCCGGAGTCTGGTGATTCGAAAATGGCAGTTGAAGAGAAAATCGACATCGCCAGACATCGATTCCCGTTTTGCATAGTCTGGACTCCGCTCCCTGTCTTAACGTGAGCTGGTTATTTCACATTGTCCCAAGAGAAATTGAACTAGAATTTCAGATGGATCTTCCCGCTAATTGGCCATTTGGGCATCGCAACGAGCAAAGGAATCATTCGCGATTTTTCTGGAAGCTACTGCGTCACGGTCAGTCTTTCTCTATCCATTTCAGCAACCCTTCCTTCAAGCTAATTAAACGTTCAGGAATTCATAGAACCTTGCCCATCATCTTGCTTTAGGAGGATGATATGGGTTTCGACTGGCCAACCATGTATTGGCAATTGTCTGCGGATGCCGTTGAAGGAGGTGCAGAGGCGTACGACAGAGCGATTAGAGAGGCGTCTGATGAATACAAAGGTAGAATGGTGAGCTTTTCTCTTGTACAGATGGTCAAGATTTCCTCAGATCTGGTGTTTTAATTATTAATAATGCTACGAGGCTTACTATTATTCATAAACAACAAATTTAGCTTTTATCAAGTTCGGAGTACATCATTGCCTATTTCCCAGACTACTATTTATTGCGCTCAAAAGGGGCGCTGTTACAACATCATGTCGTCAAACATGCTAAAAGGGAGCTCCCACAACAAGAAATAGACAGGAAAGTAACTCATAGGAAGTGAAACGGAGGTAGAACCTGAGCTTATTCAGGCTGCTGGGGAATGCTGAGTCCGCAAAATTGAGGAAGCAATTTCTAAACACAGTACTAAAGGAAAAGAATAAATAAAAACCATCAAATGAAAGCAGAAGGTCAAACTTTCGATGAGAAACTTACTGACTGGGGACTTTCTTGAAATTGAAATGCTTCTCTTAAAGAAAAATTCAGCACAATCTCTGCTGTGATAATTGTCACTCGCATGTGGCCCTTGCTCTTAATACGATGCGATATGGAGGACATGACAGGTGGAATATGGTCAAGCTAGGCTTCTACATACAGGTTTATGGAAAGTCAGGGTGAGATGATTTTTGAAGGTTCTTATTGAAAATGAGCCAAAATAATAGTCAACTAATGCTTCCTTTTTCAGTTTCGGAGGTTTCCTAAAACAGTGGGGATTCTTCATTATTATGTGCTTTGTTTTTATTGTCTTAGCTGTCGTTGTGTGAATCTCTTGCAAAAATGATTGTACTTATTTGCTGCTATTCACCTTGTTTCTATTTACATCTGTGCTAATTGCAACAGATATATAGATGAGCGTTCTCATTTTGTGAGCCTCTTCAACATCTCACGGACTGTTTTTACCGAGATTCGTTGATTTGATCCCTATCTTACCTCTTAACGTCATAGCTTAGTGCTTAAGATTGGAATGTGTAGCGAATAACTATTATTAAAATTGTCGCCATTAATAATCTTGCTGTAACAGCATTCACAGAGAACAAGCAATTTTATTGGGTCTATTGTGTTGTGATAAACCAGCTTCTTTTATTGCGGCGTAGAGTATTCGGTAGTAACCGCGGTCATTATCTAATGTACTCTGCTTTTTTAATAATGTATATCATTGATTTATAATTAAAGTCTAAGAATTCGAGGCGTCATGGTTCGTTTAACGGTGGAATTGATCGACAATGCACCACAGTTCATCAACACGGTTCGGGAACGCGAGCTGAATTTGCGTGGTTACAAAATTCCTGTAATTGAAAACATGGGAGTTACAAAGGTATGATTTTATTAGAACTTTTGACCGCGTTGTTTGGTAAATCAGATTTCTGCTCTCGTGTTGACGCTACGACATTTTCACTCAATAATGTTTCAGGATCAGTTCGACGTACTTGATTTGACAGACAATGATATTAAAAGACTGGACAACATTCCTCTGCTGAAACGGCTGCACACTCTCTACTTGCACAACAACAGGGTTCAGTAAGTGCATTCTCGCTTTCTTTCTTGTGCGACGATGCCGGCGCATTTATAGTCGGTCGTCCGATCGTAACGCATGAGCCGTGGTCGGTAGTTGAGGCAACGCGGTGACCCAGTGCAAACCCAAACACCTCAGTATGCGCGTCACGGTATTTCGGAAGTCCGGTTGTTTGAGTGTGGAGTAATGGGTATCGATCGTACGAAACATGTGATCGTAAGATCGTTATGATCGCGTGTGTCGGACGTCAGACGATCAATACGTATCTAATCATTGCGGTCTTTACGGTTGGACGATCGACTGGGAATGCGCCCTAAGATGAAGCGCGAAGTCTTCATTCCCTCTAACCAAAGCGGGTGAACTGCGGAAGTCCACATAGAAGGCATGGCGTAATTGCTTCCAGTAAATTGTGCAAATATTTATTATTGTCATCATTCCCTTACATCTTGGCGTCCTATCTACCGCAGCCCTACCATATTGCTAAATTTCATGTACATTAGTTTCGTGTAGTCGGAGTGGAAGGGGGTTCATGTTTTGTATGTGTGCTAGCTGGTGAATATTAGATCAAATCACGGTTATTCTCTTTGAGATTGCCTTTTTTAGCTACATTCAGCCGGACATTGGTGAGAAGTTGCCTAATCTGAAGATTCTGGCACTAACTAACAACAATATCACTGAATTAGGAGACATCGATCCATTGGCGAACTGCAAAAAGTTGGAGTATATCACGTGAGTGTGCATCTTTCAGCTACCTTTTTTTCTCTTTATACTCTGCTATGCGCTGCTTTACACCGTTGACTTTAGCTTCATTGGAAATCCTATAACTCACAAAACAAATTATCGTGCTTACATCATCTACAAGTTGCCATCAGTACGCGTCATTGATTTCAAACGCATAAGACTAGCAGTGAGTTTGGTTTTTTTTTCTGAGATTGTTTCCTTGAATTTGGATTTTTTCGTGACGCTTGCTTTTTATGTTATCGTATAGTCTTTTTGAAAGCACTGAAGCTCACAAAACCAAAAAGAATGTGTTCTAGGAGCGTGAAGCTGCTCGCAAGTTGTTCATTTTTATTTTCTGGAAGCTACTGCGTCACGGTCAATCTTTTCTAAAATTTCAGCAACCCTTCCTTCAGGCTAACTCAACGTTCTGGGACTCATAGAACTTTGCCCATCATCTTGTTTTAGGAGGATGATATGGGTTTCGACTGGCCAACTATGTATTGGCAATTGTCTGCGGATGCCGTCGAAGGAGGGTGCAGAGGCGTACGATAGAGCCATCAGAGAGGCGTCTGATGAATACAAAGGAAGAATGGTGAGCTTTTCTCTTGTACAGATGGTCAAGAATACCTTGCAGTTAGTGTTCTAATTCATTAATAATGCTAACTGGGCTACGTAATGTTGTTTAGCGAACGAAATTTAGCTTGTTAGTAAGCTCGGGAGCATGTCATGACTATTTGCCCAGTATTTATTTATTTACTTATTGCGCTCAAAAGGCGCGCTGTTACAATATCAAGTTGCAAACAAGCTAGAAGGGAGCACCCACAACAACAAATAGCAGGAAAACAACACAAATAAAATAAAGTGAAGCGGAGGTAGAACCTGAGCTTATCAGGGTGCACCTCTGTGGTGCTGGAGACTGCTGAGTTCGCAAAAATTTAGAAAGCACTTCCTCAACATAGGGAAAGGAAAAAGAATAAATAAAAACATAAATGAAATCAAAAACAAAATATGGTGATGGATTTACTTGGTAGAGGAAGTGTGAGGAGGGAAATAGGTATGAGGTCAACTTCGATGAGAAACATACTAACGGGGACTTTTTTGAAATTGAAATTCTCTTAAAGTGAAAAATTCAGCACAATCTTTGCTGTGATAATTGTCACTCGCATGTGGCCCTTGCTCTCAATACGATGCGATATGGAGGACATGACAGGTGGAATATGGTCAAGCTAGGCTTCTACATACAGGTTTATGGAAAGTTCACAGGGTGAGATGATTTTTGAAGGTTCTTATTAAAGGAATGAGCTCAATAAATAATAGTCAACTAATGCTTCCTTTTTCAGTTTCGGAGGTTTCCTAAAACAGTGGGGATTCTTCATTATTATGTGCTTTGTTTTTATTGTCTTAGCTGTCGTTGTGTGAATCTCTTGCAAAAATGATTGTATTTATTTGCTGCTATTCACCTTGTTTTCATATTTACATCTGTGCTAATTGCAACAGATATATAGATGAGCGTTCTCATTTTGTGAGCCTCTTCAACATCTCACGGACTGTTTTTACCGAGATTCGTTGATTTGATCCCTATCTTACCTCTTAACGTCATAGCTTAGTGCTTAAGATTGGAATGTGTAGTGAATAATCTATGCTCGCGAATCGCAACCACGCCACACTTTCCCACGGAGCACATTGATTCTGCTTATTTTGTTTGGCGTTTCTCCGTGCTCCGGAACGGTCCATATTATTGGGTCCAGAAAATATGTCCATTGCTGATAATGAAATCATGGAAAGTTCGCGATCAATAATGGTAGTGCCATTTAGCGATCCTTCTTAATTTTGTGCTCTAAGCGCTCCTAAGCGCAGTTGATCTTGTATTTTGAAGTCAGGTAAGATGTGTGTTGCAGGTGGTGGCACTGGCCTCAACAATTACACCATCTTCGAGATTATCCGAAACCACCGGTGAGCGTGTTTTCATCTTTTCTTTTCAGTTTGTACTTCGGATCTTACCCAGTAGCGGAGGAAAGGAGAGGGGAATGTGATGGGGTTCGATGAACATCGAATTTGGAAGGCACTCCTTGTTATTTCATCCGCAGTATTAGTAGGCACTGCTATGGGGTTTCTAACGCTAAGGTTTAGGTAATAGACGAAAACTCATTTTAGATGTACTCGAAGGGATATCTGTAGGCGGCAGCGACTGTCCCCTCACATGCTTTTTTACAGGGTGATACCCTATACTTCTGTTTCAAAACTCATTTATGCATTTCCAGTGAGGCTCTTACATCTTCTATCTTAAGAAACAAACATAGCTGGCAGCACTGGCTAAAATTGAATACGCATTAATTACTCGAGTCCCGCGCTCCTCGTAGACTTAGCGGTTTCGAAGATTCGTCGTTTCTGCGCTTCTCACACTTGTTACCTAACATATCTCAATCGCGTATTCTGCCTCTGATGTGGAAATTACGAACACCGCGAGATGTTGCCTAAACGCGTCCCATCTCCTAGATCACTCATTCTCCTTTGTATTTTTTCACGTATGGTAGATAAGCTCGTCACGTGATAGAAGCCTTGTGAGAGAAAAATTTAGACAACACTTGTTATAGTTTTGTGAAATTGTCAAACAAAAGCACGCTTTCCTGTTGATAAGCTGCCATTTATAGCAGCTCATTTCAGCAACCGTGGATTACTCTTCAAGGCTGACTGGTGGGACGGATCCGGAGTCTGGTGATTCGAAAATGGCAGTTGAAGAGAAGATCGATATCGCCAGACATCGATTCCCGTTTTGCATAGTCTGGACTCCGCTCCCTGTCTTAACGTGAGCTGGTTATTTCACATTGTCCCAAGAGAAAGTTGAACTAGAATTTCAGATGGATCTTCCCGCTAATTGGCCATTTGGGCATCGCAACGAGCAAAGG